AATATGACTCAAAGGAGTCCGTCTCTACTGGAGACTGGGCTTGCAATGGAGAGAAAACCTCTTCATCTTGATTGGAAGACACCTCGCAGAGCTGGTCATCTTCCTCATATGGGACTCTATGCACAGCAGTCTCAGCTAAGGAGAACTGAGCAGTTTGCTGAGTACTCTTAGCTCTCGACGTTGAGGTAGAAGAATTCTTTTTAGAAGCCTTCGTATCCATAGTGGGCAGAGTATTATGAGCCTGTCGACGTCGACAAGGTGAAGAACTCAAGGTCGAAGAGGGAGAATAGTGCCTCCTTCTATGCCTGCGGTAATTAGAAGAGGAGGACAACGTTGTCAAATCGGTATCATAATGTCGACGTCGATGTTTTGTCCTCCTCCTTCCTGAACGACTGCACCCAGATCATTCATGCCTGTGTCTTTTCTGATGTTGGGAAGTCTCCAAGTCAGAATCACGATGTCAATCACAAGAAGAATGCTGCCTTTTTGACCCCTTTTTGCGAAGAGGAAGGTCTCTCCTCGGGGAGCAAGAGGGGGAATGCGGAGTCTCAGTCGCTCGGCTGGCAGTTGCAGGGCCAAGATGGGCAGAATGAGGGCTGGATAAGACAGCCTCCTCAACTTTGTCCGGGCTGGGTGAATGCCCAGGCTCAAGCGGTGCCTCAGGTTGCTGGGAGAGTGGCAAAGACGGAGCCACTTCAGACAGGGATTCCTGGTCCCTAGAAGAATCCTCCAAAATTAGCGAAGGCAGTGAGGGTGTAACGGGTGGAAGAGAGGTGACCTCTTTAGCCTTAGATTTCTTAGGCTGTCCCGTCTGTTTTTTAGCCTTTGCAACGTCCTTGGAAACAGGCACCTTAGATGTAGAAGGAGCCTTCTTGGAGGGACCTGAGATGGCCTTTTTAGCGGGCTTAGATGACTTGGAAGTAGATGTAGAGGGGAGAAACATGGTTGTCTCAGAGCGAGGGGTCCCTGAAGGACTGGAGGAAGTCTCCATCTCTGAGGGATGGGTTGCAAACAGAGTCTTTTCCCAAAGGCAGAGCTTAAGTCTCTGCTGGCACTCTTTCAAAGCAGCCTTAGTAAACTCTTTACAATGGTGGCAAGTAGAAGTATTGTGCACGTCCCCAAGGCAAAATAAACAAAGACTATGCTTATCATAAAAAGGTATTTTCCTGAAGCACGCCTTACATTTACTAAAAGGGCCTGACGGGGACATAAAACAGTACACAGGAGGCTATAGCAGCCTGAGTTCTCACGGTAATCAGGAGATAAGTGGATAATGGAGCCTCCCGCTGAGCTGATAATGGTGCTTCCCGCTGAGGCAATCAGCCTGGCAATCAGGCAAACCACAAAAGCGTGAGACAAACCGGTCAAACAAGAGCCAAAGTCCGTCAGGTAAAAGAGTAGTCAAAGCAGTCCAAGATTGAGGGGCAACAGAAGCAAGAACAGTCGAAAATACAGTCCAAAATCAAGCCAATTCGACTGAAAAAGAGAGCTCTGTCAGAAAACGTTCCTAGCACAATGGCGGGAAAAAAGGAACTGGAGACTGGGAGGGAATGGAGCATGCATGCAAGGGGCAATCTAAACTTTTTATCTTTTCAGAAAAGCTCTAGAAGGTTCCAAAGTTCCAGCGCAGGCGCTGATTTAACCCAAATGTGTGATTCACTGAGACCACGCTGAAGAATCAGTGATTTTTTAAAAATCAAATGGATTTAAATCACAATGTAAATTTTAAAAAATCATTTTTTAATTTAAATAATCCAAAACCCTGATTTTTAAAAATTTAAATTGTTCTACAACCTATTCAGTTCCAAGGACAATTCAAGATGCTGGCTGTAATCAACAAGATTTTATTGCTGAGGGATTATTTCATTCTATGGCTTTGCATCCTCTCTCTGGAGGGAAGAACTACAAGTCATTGGTGTTTAAATAGTAGTTTTAGTGTTACAAAATTTGGTCCTTGGACACATCTTTCAAGCATGAAAGCATTCAAGGAAGTTGTATAGCCTTCCTGGCTCAGTAGGCCTTACAGACTGAGTGTTAATCATTTGCTGCAATTTCTCTACTTTGTTAAATTGTTGGTGAGGTAGTGATCTAGGGAAACACACCCACCCTAGACCTCTAAGGGCTACATCCATTCCTGCTTCTCCACCACCTAAAAATACTATTCTTATTCTTTCCTATCTTAAAAGAAGCCACAACTGCAGCAGCCAAAAAATTTTTTTTTTCAAAAACCTTTTCAAAAGTTTTATTGAAGATTATTATCTTTTCCATTGTGTGGGGCGAGCAGGATGCTCTCAAATATGGAAGAACTGCCCACCAATGCCCCCTAAAGAACACAAGGGAGGAACACACTTTGCCCATGTTGCTCTCTAAATGCTCAATGGCAGCTGAATTGTTACTCAATTTATTTTTACAGCATTCAGTTTGTAAAACGCTTTGAATCACTTAAGTAAGACATAAGCTTTTAAAAATTGCACACTAGAAAACTAATAGGTTCCTTGTAACAAAACCACAAAAAGGGAAAACAGAGTTCAGAAATATGTGGCTTTAAAAATAGCATAGGCGTATCTTTGTCATAATTTAAACAAAGATGTTCCTAAACTGTCTAAATAAGACAGACTGATTTTCACCAACTTATTTAACATTTCTAGTGCAACGGTACCTCGACTTATGAACTTAATCCGTATTGGAATGGTGTTTGTACGTCAAAAAGTTCGCAAGTCAAGGCAAACTTTTCCATAGGAATGCACTGAAAACCATTTAATCCGTACCTGCTGTTTTTCGTAATTATATCAAGGCACCATTCAAAGCCGGTTAATCCGTACTCCCCACTAGGAGGAGATTTTTTAAAACTTTTCTTCTTTTGACCTAAGATGAACTCAGGTCAAAAAAGGGCAGGAAAGGTTTTTTCTCATTCGCAAGTCGAGGCTCCGTTCTCAAGTCAAAGCAATATTTTGCAAACGGAGTCGTTAGAAACTCGAAATGTTCGCAAGTGGAGATGTTCATAAGTCAAGGTACCACTGTAATGCATGCAGATGCTTTCTAGAAGAGATGTAGTGCTTTAGAGCAGAAGTCCCTAACCCCCGGTCTGCAGCCCAGTGCCGGTCTGTGGCGTGAGCTGGACCGGGCCATGGAGACAGACCTCCCACCCCCCTGCATGCACTACCCCCACAGCCTCTCTGTGCATGCGCAGGCGCCAGCGTCCATGCAACCACTCCCTACCCTTTCCCGCATGTGTGCGAGTGCTGCACTGCCACTTGCGCATGCACACGAGCAAGTGCGCCCACACGAGTTTGCGCATGAGCCCCCACACAAGCACCCTCCCGCTCCTTCGTGCATGCATGGCAAGAGGGTGCCCCACCTTCCCCAGCTGGTCTGTGGGGTTAAAATGTTGGGGACCCCTGCTCTAGAGAGTTCAGATTCAGGTTCATTTGGAGTCGTAATGTGTTTGCTATATAACATGAAAGACGAAGAAGAATAGAAACGACAGTACAAATTATCAGAAATTACAAATCAAATCATAATAGCATAATATGTCAGAAAAATCATTTGGAATGATTTTTTTAAATCAAAGAATAGCCAAATACATTAATTTTAATTAACAGAGTTATTGGGAATAACTTTGATAAAAACAAAATTAAAACTTACCTTCTGTTCTAGCTCATTCTTTCTATAGTTGATAGTAATGGAGTAGTAATGTCTATTCAGTCCATGAATCAGCGCCTAAGAGAAGAAAATTTCAAAGCAATAAATAAAATACAGCTGACATTTTATCAAGGATATGCAAGAAGCATGTAAAAGTCTAGAAATACCATACTGGAGCTGCAAATTACTTAAAAATATTTTTTGAGTGGTGCTTGGATTTGCACATTGCCCTGACAGGGGTTTTAAGCCCTAAGAAGTGGCTTGGAAATCTTTTAGTAACTACAGTCTACTCTATATCCAAGTATTCTACCTCTAAAGCTCCACAAATACTATGAGTTTGATTTTTCACTACTTTGCTGCACACATATTTCCACAGAATGCAACGGGGGGGGGGAAATGTTCATTTGGCTAAAATGCAATTTCAAAAATTAACTCAGTACAATATGTACTTAATCCTCATAATGATATATTCTGTCCTGAGTCACAAGAATTTTAATTTTGAGGAATAATTTTTTAAAAAAACCACTTAAAAATGTAATTAGTAAAACAAAATAGGACAATGTTTTTAACTAGAATAGTTAAAATATGAATGCCTTATCTCAGAGATTTCAGAAGTGAAATTTGTGGAACTGGTTCAAATAAAGGGAAACAGTCCTCAGTCGTAATAATGAGTTGCAAGGCACACTCTCCACTAGAGTTTGTTAGCTTTCCATGGACAGAGCTTCTGCTTGTTCTGTTGAAGAAGTTTCCAAAACAGAAAAGATTGACTGAATCTTTAGAAGCCAAATACAAGATTGTCTTCTTGGGCAGTGGGGCGTGTTTCAACAAAATTGTAACTACAAGACATCCTCTGTGGAATATTTTTAAGTTCTTCCTTTTTTGAACTGTGGGTATTCCTAATAAATGGCACCCAGTAATATGACAAATAGGAAATGCTCACAAATACTGCAGATCGGAATTAGCCTTGGGAGGAGTAATACAAAGACCTACAGAAGTGGACTATATTTCTAATGGTTGGTTTGAGACCAAGGAATTGCTTAACATTCTAAAAGAAAAGACAGTAATGAACTAGCATGACACTGTGGGGTTTGCATGAGAGGTCATTACACGCTGTCTCAAAAAGCCCAGTAATGTATTCTCTGGAAACATACAAGCACAGGCTTGCCTGCACCCAATCAAAAACATTTGTGGGTTGTTCCACTCTCATTAATAATGCTTTACCATTTGTACTCATTCAAATTTGCCTCACTCTTGTTAAACCAAACTTGTTTGGTTGCCTAAGATTTTGTTAAGCTATTGTTACACAATTTTATAAATAACAAACTAAAATACCCAGATATATTTTGAACTTGGAGAGTCTTAAATGATTAGAAACGAAATTTCCATGGTGAGAATAAAAGCTGATGTTTATGATGAGAACTCAACAATGGTATTTGCTGTTTTCAAATGCAAGTGCAGCATTTTCAGCATATGTTGCTATTAGTGCTCCTATAATTAATCTTCAGAGAAATAATTAGGATTCTTGGTGGCAACTATCTTGCCCTTTTAAATTTCATTTTGAAAGGAAAATATATTTTTTGTTGGCAATATTATCATTAGTGCATGTTTATTGATCATGACAAAGCAGTAATCATTCATGAGGGAATGCTTATTTAAGAAACATGATGTGTTCTTATATCTTGCTCTGACACTAAGGAGACTAAATTAGTAGCTTGGCCTGCAAGTTTATTGCCTACAAATTAGTACATATAGTGGATGTAGTATCCAGCCCAAAGAGCCACAGGTTCACTTGGTTTGTTTTAATCTTTTCTGTCTCCACAAATTAAAGGAACAATGACATAATTCAACCTTAAAAAGTTAAAGGCAGAGGCCTAAAGCCAATTTTGTGTTGAAGGGTATGGGACGTGCAGCGTGGAAAGAGATCATCATCACCACCACAACTGAGATTAGGAGGCTGCACATTAATGCAATTGTTTCCTACAGGGTTCAACCAGTGCTCTTGATCTATGTATTGGGAGGTGACAGATCACTATCAATATCTCAATGGCCACTAATGAACTTGTGTACCTCTTAGCTGGGATCTGGTAAGCCATTTCAAACCCTGGATAAATCCTGGAAAATATAAATATTGACTAGAGATGAGATATTCGTATTTGTCTCCCGGGGAAATAAATACAACTATTGCCACCACAGTTGGCCAGGTCCTTTGGACCCATTCCCCAGAACTGGCTGGTCCACTTACTGCTGGCAGCGTGGCACACATGGCTATTGTCATCTGGTCAGCAGAGCAGGGAGCAGGGAAGCCATGGCTGGGTTACTTCGGCAAGTGGCACAGTGCAAATGACGATGGCCACACACTCCATGCTGCAAGTGGTAAGCAGATGGCCCGGTTCTGGGGGAAGGGTCCAATTGGTGCACCTGTGGTGGCGATATTCATATTCGTCTCCCCAAGGAGACAAATACAAACATCCCATTTCTAGTATTGACTGTTGCTAAGTTCAATGCTGATATTAATTTACAGAAGGACCAACTGTAGAAAACACATGTTCCTATGACTGTTTCATAATGCCTATACAACAGCAACATGTTTGGAATGCTACATTTACGTTGCCACTGAATATAAATCATAGTTTCAGCTCTTAGCGAGATAGAATTGCTACACAGTAAAAACCACGTCTGGCACTCAATCAAATTAACGGCACATACACCCCTGCTTCCCAATTAATCTGTTTTCAAGACTAGCTAGTAAACTGCGATTCTAAGTTTGTTTACTGGCAAGTACCCTAACCACTCCTTAAAAATCTCATTAACCTTGAAAGCCCTGTTAGTCTCTGTAAATCAGTTCCAACTTGATTGCACATAACACACAAAACATCACTAAAACAGATGACATAATAATACCTATGAGTTTAATTTGTCCATTCCATTGGTTCTTGGATCCTACCCAAGCTCAGATTGTGAGGAGCTTTGCAATCTCCTCATTATAAATAAAAGAATTTCCCACTTTTCCTTCTATTCATAGGCAAAATGATCATGGCTGGAAATCCATGGACAACCTGGACAGTATGATCTCCATAGCAGCTGGGGATTTGTTACAAGCCCCCTGTGGATACTGAATACCATGGATAACAGAGTATATCCTTGATAGGTAGGTAGGTAGGTAAAAGGAAAAGAACAAAAAAATCCACATGCATTACCAGAACTAGCCACTAGAGGGCACCAGAGACCATGCTATGTATTCTTCACTAACAAGTATTCATAACATGATTTCTGGCTCTCTCTAGTGGCCAGTTCTGGTAATACATGTGAAAATATTTTTTCTAGATTTTCTTCTTTTAATATTTTTAATATTTTCAGAATGTGGATAACTGAATCAGTCAACACTGATCCCAGGGATAAAGTGGTCCTACTGTACTTACTTAAAACACAAATGAAATCTAAAGAATACAGGAGACAACCATTTTCTGAAGTATCAAGAGAACAGTATTAAAAACAGGGGTACTGTAATCATGGAAACATGTATTTGTGAAGAAAGCACATTGAAGCTGGCATCTACTTTGCAAGCAATTAGTGTGACTGAATTTAATTGCTTTATAATCTCAGTTTTAATAACAAACTAAGACTAAAAGTAAGGATGTCCAGAAGTGTTTGGAAGCAAACTGAACATGCAGACATCTTTTATTCTCTATTATCTAACACAGTGGTTCTTAACGTGGGCGATAATGCCCCCCATGGGGCGA